CCCGCGCCCGGAGCCCCCGGGCCGCCCGCCCAACACGCCCATGAATCCCAATGAAGCGGCCCTGGCACCTCCGGCCGCTCGGCGCTTCCAGGCCCTGGGCTGGGCCCTGCTGGGTCCCTTCGGGCTGGGGGCAGCGGCCCCAGGGCTGAGCCCACCCGAGCTGCGGCGCCCGCGGGGCGCGCAGCTAAGCAGGCGCATCGGGGCTGAGGAGAAACGGGGCCATTTATCCGCCCGTCTAGTTAAAGCGGGTTATTTGTTTGCTTCTCTGGCCTCCTCCCCTCCCCTCCCCCTCCCTCCCTCCCCCTCCCTTTCTCTTCTGCCTTTTATTCTTTTGTCTCTAAATGGATTTAATGAGCCTGAAAAACATGACAATTGAATATAACCAAGAAATAAAAAATAACGAGGGAGGAAGGAAGGAGGAGAAGAAAGAAGGGAAGACGGAAGGAGAAGGATTAATAAAATAAAGGGGGGGGGGAATCGATTCAGCAGATATTTATTGTGTGCAGGTGTCGAGGGAAATTGAAACGACGTAGATCTGGTCGCTGCCCTCAAGAAGCTCCCAATCTAATCTGCCGGGCCCGGAAGCACCCGAGAATGTTAGGAAATCGTCGGCGACCAGGAGGGAAGTGCTGCTTGCAAAATGCTGAGACCCGACTTCGGGCTCAAGGGTGGGGATGGCTTCTTGGAGGAGGAGGCATAAGATTCAGGCCCGGAGAGACAGAAGCAATTCGTTGTGTCTGTGGGCGAGAAAGGAAATCGAGTTGAAGACCAGAGTGACCGTCTAGAGGGGAGGGAAGGAGAGAGGTGTACCCGACCCCAGGCTGAGCCCCAGCTGGGGAGCACCGGTCACCACATGAGCTCTGAGCACCATCATTTTGGGAGAGTGTCAGAGACACTCCGCGGTCTCCTAGGCTCTGCTGAACTCGGTGCTTCTGCCCTGCTGCCGCTGGGCTTCTGAAGAGCGCCGGGGTGAGGTTACCCAGGCCTGACTCCAGCACCACAGATTGGGGCTCACCTCCAAGCTGGGTCAAGCACAAGGCAGGCGAAAGCGCTAACTGTGGGTGAGGGCTAAGGGGCTTCGATCCAGGGAGGCCAGGACTCTAGCCGGTCTTCTTCTTAGCTAGCTCATGGCCGGCACGCGGTCCAGGGGAGCTCAAACGGCCTGGGCCACCACCCAGGTCTTGCCTCTGGGGCCTATGACGCAAGAGGGCCTTGAACTCCAGGTGACACCCTAGAGGTTCTCATGGGGTGCCTGTCTCTCGGGTGAGGTTGTGTGCTGTTAGCACGCTCAAGGAGTGGGCTCTGTGCGAGCTGGCCGTGGACCTTGCCTATCTGTTTCTTGTTCGTGTCTGAATGTGACATGGGTCGTGTGCAGGGCTGTGGAATCCACACCCATTCTGGGTGAAGTTCGTTAAGGCTCGGCTCTTCGCCCAGAGTTCCCACACTGCTTGGGACCAATGCAGATTTGTTTCCTTGGGAATCCGGGCCCTGTGCGGACCCACTTTCGGTTCCTGGTTGACCAAGGGAGGAGATCAGGCTTTGTCTCTCCCTTCTCGGTTGCGTCCCGGGCCTTGGCGAAGCTTGTTGAGTCCCGGGACACGACTGCTTCCGGGGACTGGAGCCCCCTCCGAGCGCGGACAGGTCGAGCTGTGCGGCTGGAGCATGCCTCCACTGCGCCTGTGGTTCCGCCTTCCTCGGCGCGGTGGCCTAGCGGTCGGCGTCGGGTGAGGCCGGGAGGCGCAGTTCCTTATTTTACGAGGTGTCGGGCCAGTGTCAGACGCAGCTCCGATAAGTAATACTCCAGTCTGAGGGACCAGAACGTGGTAATTAATCCCAAAGACTTAAGTGTATTTTAGTTCAGGAGAAAAAAAATCACTAATTCAATCGTCCGGAAAATTGAAGTTTGATGCATGAGTCCCCCCTGAAAGGGACGGGCTGGGGCCGCACGTCTCCCCTCCGCCCCTGCCGGTTGCCGCGGGGACCCCCCTCCTCACCACCCTTTTGAGCCAACGGGTCCAGGAAAGTTCACTCATCCAGCCCTGCTGGCTCTCAGACTCCAGAACCCAGGGACACCCAGGCATTCCCCACCCCCAACAAACACTCCCCCTTTTTTGGGACCCAGGAAGCATTTTGTGATGGAAGCACACATTTGCTCCCCAAACATGTGCGTTTAGAAGGGGACATAGGGGCATGTGAGGAGAGCAGCCAGATAAGAGGCCAGTGTAGGTGAGATCAGGGATGTGAGGCCCGAGGGGAAGGGGACAGGGGACCTGAGTGGGCTCCAGTGAGGAGGGCCAGCTGCTAGTGTACAATAGTGAATCCCACGGGGGGGCTCTAGGGGGTGTGAGCTGGTGGGTAAAGCTGGCTAAGCTAGGCCGTGGTGTGATTGGGGTGCAGGGGTAAGCGGCTGTGTGGGAAAGAAGTGCATCTCCAGAATGTTCCTGTGCAGGTATGGTGGTCTGGCCTACGAGCCTGGCCCCCAGGGTGTAGCCATAGACCCAGTCTTCCAGGCTCTTAGGACTGAAGTGAGGCTCCTGGGCTTTGTTCCCTGTAGGGGTGGGAGGCTAAATCCTGGATGTAGGAGTTCCCCATCTTCAGTTTCTCTGGGGGCCACATCTTTGCCTTCCCAGGCTCTTACCTGCTGTGTGCTACCCATTCTTTCTCTTCCCACAGTTGCCAGTCCTGAGAGATAATTGGTGCTGGTGTGTGTGTGTGTGTGTGTGTGTGTGTGTGTGTGTGTGTGTGTGTGTGTGTTGCACCGAGACCAACAAGGGTGCATTTCTGAGTGTGTCATCGAAAGTGTGCACCTAGAAACTGAACACGTGCAGCTGATGGATGGCAGCGTGGCATGTGCATCTGGGGGTGACTGGGGGTGTACCTCCACGGCCTGTGCAACCAATCATCACAAACGAGTGTACGAAACTGTGTGTGACGGAACCGGTGCTCGGGAGAGAAAAAGAGGAAAGCGACCCCTGGGGTGGGGATGACCCGTGGCTGAGCACCGCGAGGGTGTGCACAAAGCTGGTGTGAGCACACAGCCAGGACAAAGCGTTGGTGTGAAACTGAAGGACACACGACAGAGTCCCAGCTCTAAACCGCGAGGCCGGCATGGCTCAGGCAGGTAGATGGACATGGACAAGACAAGGGGGAAGGCTGGAGACCTCGCTGAAGAAAGCAGTAGCTCACAGGAGGTGAGCAGTCGGAGGTCTACTCTGAGGGCAGCTGAGGCCACCGAGGAACACTCTCCTTTGCTTCTTTGAGGACAGTTTGAGGAGGGACTGGTGTCCCTCTCTGCTCTCCCTGGATGCCTTCCTTATTTTACCTCCTTCCACTCAATTTGACTACTAGGCTGAACCTCAGTCCCGGAAGTATAGCTTGGGCCGGTGTTCCCTCCAATTCACCTGCTCCCTGAGGGGCTCAGCTCTGCCCAAACTGGGAAGACCACACATGGCAATTGTATACATATATATGTTGAGGGTGCAAACCACACATGGCAATTGTATACCTAT